GCTGAAACTGAAAGAGAAAGATCTGCCTTTTCATGTCTCCGTCCTTGGAGAGGCTTTCACTGAAGTTCCAGGTACCATTCCTTTTCTTTTCTTTACTGTAAAGTTACCATAAAATAAATATTTCCAGAAGTAGTTTTCGTGTACATGTTGTCTTATAGTAGGCAAAGAACATGCTTAAAATCTTCGTAGTTGTAAGGCTAACTAATATTGATGAGTCCTAAAATTAAAATTACTAACGACAGTAAGCCTTTTTTATTTTAGTTAGCAGGACAAGACCTTATTTATGACTTCTGTTCCAGTAACGCTTCTATATTTATTTAAACAGAGAGATAGGTGTGAGTGATTGGATGGTTCATACAGGAAACAAAATCTTTCAGGTCGAGGTCGCTCATCTGAAATCCAGACTGAGATTTTTAGCAGGTGAAAATGCTTAGTTCCCTTTCAAACGTGAGGTTAAGGACTTCTGTGGAGAGCTTCTGGTTTGTATCTGGCATGAAAGTGGTCATTAATCTTTAATATTTTTATACCGCTCTTTTGCACGGTCCTTCCGTTTCTTGGTTTCTGACAACCGCTACTCTGTAAACAGTTTCACCCATCTGAAAAAGAAGTAGGATTTATTCTGAATACACACAGCCTGGCGCCTGAGATATTGTGGTAAGAAAGAGAATCATCAAATCCCATATTGGGTGCAATTGTAGTAAATTAAACCTGTTAAAAATCTACTTTAACAATGGGCCAGCTTCAAAACAGCCGATGTTTTAGCTCGTGTGTGTTTTCCAAAATGTAGACTTGCATCCCTCCGCCTCTTCGGTCTGTGAAAACAGACTTGGGATTAGTTTATTTGTCAGTTCTGTCATATCTGTTGCCTGCTGGACTGGTGGTATTTCAATTGTTTTAGTTTTGATTTTGCAGTTTTTTAAGACACCAAGAAATCGATCTGATCCAAATAACTTTTGGGTCCCCAACTGTGGCACAGCTGGATTGGAAAAAGAGGTAATAATTCGGGAGCAGGACATATCTTTGTGTTTTCTGTCCACTTCTTTTTAAGACAGTGTTCTGAAATCCTCTTCTTCCAGGCAAGCCTTATCGCAGATCCCAAGGCAACGTTGCTTTCCAGACTGAGCGCACCAGATTTCTTAGAAGGAGAAATTTCGAAGGAATATGTGACAGATAGGAATATACGATGGTGCACTGCGGGAACAGATTCTATTGACACTCATTTTGGATGTTGTTACATATCTCATTTGTGGCTTCAGTACTTATGAATAATGTAGATCATCCTAAATTTATGCCAGTATATCAAATCTATATGCCGCACCTCTTGTCTTGTCAATTCATTCATCCTCGTGTATAAATAGAGTCTATATAAAGGGCAATGTGGTGAAATGTGTCTCATCACCATGCATTTGATAGGGCCGTATTCATACAAATGACATATGCAGGTCATTGCTAACAAGTACCAATAAAACCTGTTGCACATACTTTACTGAAAATCTATTTCAGAGATTTTTTTACAGATTTTTTTTTTAATAAATTATTGGCGCTGTGTTTCCTTTCTCTCCAATTATGGGATCAAATTCCCTCAGTATTATGAATGTCACGTTTACGGTCGTTGGGAAGAGAAGAAGTGAAAAAGTGCATAACGTATTTCATAATTCAGTAATCACTCATTTATTTGAAAACCCAGTTTCCACTGGTTAGAAGTATGCAGCGAATACCCAGTAGGAAGTGAAGAAACCTTTAATTTTCAGCTTGGGTTTAGGCTCCAAAGGAATCGAGAGGTAAGACTTAGGGCTTCAGGCAAGTGTGCTTTGGAGGGCAATTCCTCCTCTGAGGAAGGGAGCAAATAGCTCCACGACTGGCTCTCGTTTGGGCTATGTCAGCAGTGGAGGAGTTAAGGCTGGCACACATCCCAACGATAACCAGAAGTTCCTCCTTCAGAGTGGAAGTTGTTGTGTCTATCTCATCTTTGATCTCCGTGCGCATAGTACGAGCATCAGTTTCGATTAGAGGTTTAAGACCATTTACTGTCATTGGTACTCCTCTGTCCTAGGATATGAGCTGCGCTTTCAGTGTGGTTTTATGATCCATCAAATTTTGGCTAGGTAACGATAGCAGCGGAGCGCTGTGCGTGTTTGAAAGGCCAACCCAGACATCTGAGCCCCATACCGAGAAGCGGCATCGCTCCACCCCTTCCCTAATGCTGATACAGGCTGCCCCAAACAACCTGCCGTCCTCCAGCCGTCCCAACCCTCCTCATCCCACTTTGAACCTCTGCATCTGAACCAGACTCAGACCCGCCTCAGAAGCCTGACTGTAGTCTCTCCAGCTTTTTCACCGTTCCTCCATCCAGTCTGCTTGTTTCTCCCCTGCCTGCCAGCACATCTTCCGTCTTTCCCATACTCTCCATCTGGTTCCTTTTCGCCTTGCTTCTTCCTTTCCCAGCCCAGTGCTCTCCTCCTCTCTTGCAGACGTCCCCTCCTGAAAGCACCAGAGTGGAGACCAGTGGGTTTGCTCCACAGGGCTCTGCAGCAAAGAGCAAGGACAAGGGGCCAGCTCCGATCCCACGAGTGGAGAAGTCACACAGCTGCTATGAGCATCACTTCATTTAAGGCTTAACAATCTAACGAGAATTAAACTATCAGCATGAGACAGACAGCCTCTGCTGCCCGGGCAGTCCAGCCTGACTGTACTCTTACGATTTTGAACATCAGAGAGAAATTTATAGTAGACTTTGCAGCACCTGAAAGCCAAGTGATGATGTCCTGAGCTCAACAGGAACAGAAAGTCTTCCTCATCATAGGATAGTTTGGGTTGGAAGGGACCTGTAAAGGTCATCTAGTCCAACCCCCCTGCAATGACCAGGGACATCTTCAACTAGACCAGGTCACTCAGAGCCCCGTCCAACCTGACCTGGAATGTTTCCAGGGATGGGGCATCTCCCACCTCTTTGGGCAACCTGGGCCAGGGCTTCACCACCCACAGCGTAAAACATTTCTTCCTTATATCTAGTCTGAACCTTCCCTCTTTTAGTTTAAAGCCATTATTACCCCTTGTCTGATGGCAACGGGCCCTGCTAAAGAGTCCCTTTCCTGTACCCTTTAGGTTCTGGAAGAGGCTCTAAGGTCTCCCTGGAGCCTTCTCGTCTCCAGGCTGAACAACCCCAACTCTCTCAGGCTGTCCTCCAGCGGAGCGCTGTGCGTGTTTGAAAGGCCAACCCAGACATCTGAGCCCCATACCGAGAAGCGGCATCGCTCCACCCCTTCCCTAATGCTGATACAGGCTGCCCCAAACAACCTGCCGTCCTCCAGCCGTCCCAACCCTCCTCATCCCACTTTGAACCTCTGCATCTGAACCAGACTCAGACCCGCCTCAGAAGCCTGACTGTAGTCTCTCCAGCTTTTTCACCGTTCCTCCATCCAGTCTGCTTGTTTCTCCCCTGCCTGCCAGCACATCTTCCGTCTTTCCCATACTCTCCATCTGGTTCCTTTTCGCCTTGCTTCTTCCTTTCCCAGCCCAGTGCTCTCCTCCTCTCTTGCAGACGTCCCCTCCTGAAAGCACCAGAGTGGAGACCAGTGGGTTTGCTCCACAGGGCTCTGCAGCAAAGAGCAAGGACAAGGGGCCAGCTCCGATCCCACGAGTGGAGAAGTCACACAGCTGCTATGAGCATCACTTCATTTAAGGCTTAACAATCTAACGAGAATTAAACTATCAGCATGAGACAGACAGCCTCTGCTGCCCGGGCAGTCCAGCCTGACTGTACTCTTACGATTTTGAACATCAGAGAGAAATTTATAGTAGACTTTGCAGCACCTGAAAGCCAAGTGATGATGTCCTGAGCTCAACAGGAACAGAAAGTCTTCCTCATCATAGGATAGTTTGGGTTGGAAGGGACCTGTAAAGGTCATCTAGTCCAACCCCCCTGCAATGACCAGGGACATCTTCAACTAGACCAGGTCACTCAGAGCCCCGTCCAACCTGACCTGGAATGTTTCCAGGGATGGGGCATCTCCCACCTCTTTGGGCAACCTGGGCCAGGGCTTCACCACCCACAGCGTAAAACATTTCTTCCTTATATCTAGTCTGAACCTTCCCTCTTTTAGTTTAAAGCCATTATTACCCCTTGTCTGATGGCAACGGGCCCTGCTAAAGAGTCCCTTTCCTGTACCCTTTAGGTTCTGGAAGAGGCTCTAAGGTCTCCCTGGAGCCTTCTCGTCTCCAGGCTGAACAACCCCAACTCTCTCAGGCTGTCCTCCCAGGACATGAGCAGCTGAAGTCTTTCCGTGCCCGTACCAGCATGCCCGGGGGTGATGGCACCCAGCAGGGGAGCAGCTTTGCTGGACGGGGATGCTCCTGCAGCTGCTCCCCGGCCGAGGTGTCTCCTGTGAGCACGTAGCCATCTCCGTCCTCAACTAAACTAGTGAAGGGAGAATTTATCTGGTAATTAAATTCCCTCCCCATAATTGCTACTTTAGCCTATAGATGATTGCACTCCATTTAAGTTGAAAAATCTTCCTGAAGACCTCTCAGCCTAGGGAGACTTTAAGAAATGAGTTGCACTCCGCTCTTGCCTTGCTGGTGCTTACCACATTTATTCCTTTGGAGGCATCTTCACATTAATTTTGACCCTTTGATGCCACTATAGGTTTCAGTAAGGAAGTTGGTTTTGTTTTAAACATGCTTTTGAAAGCTGCAGATTCTTCTTGCCATGTTCTGCCAGTCTCCGTCCTCAGTTGCCTGATTTGTTTGTTCCTTTCTTTATGGCCAGGATTTTAAGGTTACTGGTCTGAATTGGAAAAAAAATGGAACAATTTGATGTCAGACTATGATTTCGCATTAAATATTTCTCCTCCCATTTTCTGTGAACTAAAACGGTTTGGGAAGGCGCGATAGCAACCCTTGAAACGCACGGCGCTGGTCATACTTCTTCCTTATCCTTAGGTGATACCTTTATCCTCTTTTCAGAAAGAGCGAGAAAAAGGAGGTCTTTACATTCCAGGACACGTTTTTGAAAAGTGAAATCAAATCACCCCTGAATGCAGCCCTTTTTATGAGGTTTGATGAGTAGGTA